CGTCGACGCTCTCGCTGCCGCGGCACACGGTGGTGCAGCTCACCCCCAACCAGTACGGCTGGAAAGTCGACCTCATCCCCCTCCACGGCCTCGACGGCAGCGCCAGTCCCGCGGCCGCCGACCACCAGCAACGCTACCAGCAGCAGCAGCAACACCCGTTCTATGGCCGGACTGATGCCAGCGACAGCTCCGCCAAACGCGAACACGACGCGCCGAGAGCGACTGCGGAAGGCGAGGGCAGCCTTGTCTGAAGAAAGAAGAAATCTACACACACAGCCACAAGCCACGTACGCTCGAGGTACGCCACATGGGCGATGGACCCACTTCACTGCTGCGTTGGCACGGCGGGCGGCGTGGGTTGGATGAGGGAGAGGTCGGCCCAGATCCCCGATTTGCTGGCGTCGGTGGTGGCCAGCACGATGCAGTAGTGGGCCTGGGTGAGCCGCCACTCCTCCACCTCGTCGAACATCTCGATCCTGTTCAGCCTGGTTACGATGTCGACAAGGTAAGTTAACCGGTCAACTGGGGGGCTTGGCTGGGGCGAGGTGGTGGTGGGAGTGGTGGTACCGTGCGAGTTCGTCGCGGCCGAGGAGGCGATCGCTGATGGCGTTCATGTCGACGACCTGCGCCTCGTCCCAGCCGAGGGCGAGGTAGGCGCTTCGCTGGGTCTCGATGCTGGGCCGCGCGTGCAGGCCGTGGAGGTGCACGTTGCGCTCCTCGAGGTTCTTGAGCATCATGCGCCCGAACGCGTCGTCGGGCAGAATCTGCTCGTACGTAACGAACACCGCCTTTTCAAACGTAGCTGCCCACCTGCACAACACACACACACACCACACAACACACACAAATCACGCACCACCGCACGCGCGTTAGACAAATGGTACGCAGTACGAAGAGGGAGAGGTAAGCGAATTTGCCTGATTACAGCGGAGCTGTGTTCGTCCTTCATGTAGATCAGCACGCACTCCGACAAGAACAGCGTGGGTATGCTGTGCCGCATAAGAGGGAGAAAAGCTCCAGTGAGTGCTTTGTTTTTGCGAGGCGGTGGTGTGTGGTGTACCTTTCGAGTCCAGCCGTCGTGAGGACCTTGTCCACGTTCTCGATGGAACGCAGGTCTGCGGTGATCAGGTGGTAGTTCTTCGTGTGCAAGCCCTCTGTGACGATTCAAATTCAAGTGTTAACGTGAGGCCAGTCGTGACGGTGAAGCTGAGTCGTAGGAATGTGAACATCGCTCGCGTACCTTCGGTGACGCGAATGCCGGCCTCGTTGTGAGCGATGAGTTCGTGGAGCTCGCGGCACGTTGTGATGATGTTGCTCTTCCGCTTGACCACCTCTCCAAAGTCCAGCTCGTAGAACACCACGTTGTCGCCCAGCCACCCCTCCGACTATGTGCCGTGGTTGACACACACACACACACAACCACGCACACGCATTCGCACTCGTCTCAGTCACGCCTCTGCGGTACATGGTCCAAAGGCGAGCTTACCTTCTTCTGAAAGTAGGTCGTGTCAAATCCAGCGCCCAGGCATACCACCTGCTTGGGCGTGTCGCTCCCGCCAGCCGCAAGGAACTGCCGCAGCACGTTGTGAATCGCCGCCACACGCGTGTAGTACCCTGTGGTCGTGTGTCATGTTGGCGTTGTGTGTGTCGTGCGTGTGTGGTTAGCCAACAGGAATCGCTCAGCCGTGGAGAAGGGGGTGGTGCCTCGGTTGATGAGGGGCGGTCGCCGTGTGGCGCTGGCACCACGCACGAAGTGGTGCAGGAAGTTGTCGCGCCAGTACCCTAACCGCACAGCCGACCTGTCCCCCGGAACAGCAGATTGGTATTAAGAGATGGAACGCTGCAGCAGTTGATCGTCGATGGCAGGAAGGAGAGCATGATACAGTTTGCTGACGGCAGCGTCATCGTTGGTGAGCATGACCGCGATGTCTTCCGCCATGGCCTTGGCTGCGGGCGACCGCGGATCAGCGCCGCTGCCGTCGTGGCTCGCAGGTGGCTGCCTTCTCTGTGTGGTTCTCTTGGGCGCCGCAAACGAGAACGTCAGCGATGGCTTCTCCATGCTCTTCTCCCTCGATACAATCCGCAAGATCTGATTTAGTACCTGTTATTTTCTTTTTCTTTTCTAAGCAGCATTTTTGTTTGGCAAGAAGACGAAGAAGGATAGGATCCGATGAAGGCCCGTTCATCTCTCCTTGCCACGGTTCGTTGTGGTATGCCGATATTCAATGTCCACTCAACTCGAAATCTCTTGATGACAACGGCACGATTTAATCTCTTTTTTTTTAGCTAGTGGTGCCGGCGGCAGACTGCCAGCGCCACGACTCTCCGCCACGACGCTCGGGGCTGGTCACCTGCGCAGTGGCAGGACTGCGACGGCGACGCTGGCCCGGTGCTCGCTGCGCCCAAGCCACCAGCCATGGCAGCTGTCGTCCGTCCTTCTTCCCCGGAGGGACTTCACCGCCTCTGCCGCGCCGTCTTCGGGCCAGCCCGAGGGCGAGGCCACCAGCCCTGCGCTCATCAAGGAGACCAGTACCCCTCGCCGCACCCACGCCGTGTTGTGCCAACAGCTCACCCACGTTCCCGCACGCACCACACACACGACACACACACACACACACGACACACACACGACACACACACGACACACACACACACACACACGGACAATCAGGCGAGCTGTTCTACCAGCAGTTGTTTGTGGCCAAGGACGAAAAGGCGGCGTTCCACCTCTACAAGATCCTCAACTCGCTGACCAGGAACCGCGCGTTTGCGGTCGAGTTCGGCCAGCGCGAGGGCGGGCGGGCCATTGACCAGCTCTTCCGGCTGTTCCGGGAGGCGGCCACCACGCACTACTCGCAGGAGAAGATCCTGGCCGTGCTGACCAACCTCGCCCGGCACGACGCGACCCAGCGGCGGGCCATCGCCGTGAGTGGTGCCGAGCCGCTGCGGCAGGCGCTCGTCTGCAAGACCACCCTGCGCGGCGTCGTGGCGCAGGCCGTGCAGCTGCTCAACGTTACTCTGCAGAGCAAGGCAGAGGTGCGTGACCACAGCGCTCGCCTGTAGCTGCTACGAATAGAGCTAATGAGCGTGCGGTGGTGCGTGTTGTGTGCCGTGTGTGCGATGGTGCGTGTGCGCAGTTGCCTTCGTCGCTCTTCGAGGGATACGTGCCGGCGACCATGGATCTGATGGTGGACTTTGCGGACAAGCCCGAACTCCAGCTCGACCTCATTCACCTGCTCGGCCTTCTCTCCACCGATTGCGCCTTTGAAGACTACAAGAAGGTACCTACGCATGGTTGGTTGGTTGGTTGGTTGAGCTGTGGCTAACGATTGCGCTCGTTCGCTGTGGCTCGGCCGAGCAGCTCTCGCCATTGGGCGCGGCCATGCTCATCCGCAACATGCAGGCCTACATTTTTGAACCGCAGAGCGATTCGTTCA